GTATCAATCAAATCCAGGCAGAGATTAAACTGACCATAATGATATGTAACAAAAGTCATTAAGGCAGCGTGTGATATCTCTTGAGGATTTTCAGATATTCTACTTCTATCTCAAGAGGAAAAAGAAATGTGAATTGCATTGTAGGCCCAAATCAGCATTGCCTGATCACAGCCAGGTAAGGAAGGGCTCATTTTTGTTCAGTACTGACTCCACATCGTTGAGGATAGGGATCAAATCTTCTGACTCCAGAGTCCCAAGATCAACATTTGTTCCTGGAAGACAGTCGAGGAAATCAGGGAAACGTGTTTGCTGTGGATTTATGTTCATTGTTGTCTGTGCTATAGTTTCTCCTAGGAAAAGTAAAGAAGAACTTTAGAAATACCAAACTCTTCTTGTAGGTAATTTAAAATAAACGAATTGACATGTTGATTTCCTGGTAGTTTATTTTGCTATTTTAAACACTATCAGGACACTAATATAAAGTAAATACATACCAAAAGCTAAACTAGTTAAATGCATTTATTTGAAGGCAAATCCAACTCTGTCACTGTAAAAGACTTATTAACACAACTGATTTCCCAGGGTTAGAAAACACAGTGATTTGTACTGAGAATGTAACCCAAGGACAGTTTTTCACTCCCCCTACCTTGGACAATGGTATGAAAACAGAAGTTAAGGCTCACGTTTTCGAACTTTTACTTATTTTATTTAACATCAGTCTAAGGTAAAAGGGCAGAACCTGGATCTAAGTTAAAGCTGAGAAGCTTCTAGGCACTAAGCACCTTCCAGGCATTTCCTCCCACAGTCTCAATCTGCTCTCTCACGTAAAAAAGCCAGAGATTATCCTCCAGTTATGCAATTACAAAACATTACTAGCCATAACATGAAATTATTAACATGACAATGCTTTAAGCTAAATCAGAGTATTCTACCTGTATCCATCTCGTCTACATTGCCCAGGAAATCTTCAGGTGTTGTTGGTATACTGTAGCATCCTAATCCCAAGCCACTGTCTGTACTTTGTTCCCTGGAATGGTATGGCCCACTGTAAATTGAAACATGAAAAAGCCTCAGTAAAGATGCTCTGGCAGACACAGTCCCTGAGCACAGTAGGTTGCATATTAAACATAGATACTGAGTCATTAAGCCTCATTCTCAGCTGTTGTCCACTGATCAGCCAACATCATATTTGGGCCAACATCAGCCCAAATAACAAAGCAACTGAAGTGAGTCCACTCTTAAGTTTTGAAATATACACATGTATATATAACTCTCCAGACAAAACCAATTCTGATAGCTTAAAAAATTGTGTGCATTTATTCTTAGGTAATGTACCTATTCTACCTAGTCTTTTAAATACACCGACAATAAAATAAAACCACCTGTTACAATTAATTGATTTTTCTAAGATTCCTTCTTGAAGCATAACCTGAAGGATTTTGGGTCACCCACTCAGCCATACCCCATGTTCACAGTGAGACCAAAGAACTACTTCAGAGAGAGCTTTAATAGCCCAGAGAAGGCCACAGAAGGAGTTGCCCAAAGAGGAGGAATGAACTTGCCTGTTCAAGAAGGGATCAGATCCGTTGCTTGTAATCGGCCTCATGTCCTGTGGCATGGCAGGGCTGTTCACAGCTGTCTGAACTGGGACCATGTTCTCTGAGTCCATGGGAAGTTGTCTGCACAGAGCCGCTTCCTGGAAAGGCAAGTGGATACAGGGGAAGGGTTATTCCAACACCAGGGAAGCACTGCAGTCTTGCGACAGGTGAACACATAACATGCACACACCTCACAGGGGCAAGTAAGTCTGAATGATGTCACTGCTGACTGTTTGTTTATGCGGATGTGAAGAAAATCATGCCACAGACAGTGTCTCTCACACCCACCTGTGCTGGCTTAGAGCACCACAGGACCTACTGTCGGTTTCACCACACCTGGAAGCCAGTCTTGTAGTTCAGCAACCCTAAAGCACTTATCATGCTAGAAGAAAAACACTGGAACCAAGACTGTGACCCAATAATCTTTAGAACGAATCCTCTGCCTTATAATAAGCATCTGCCTAATGACCCATCTCATGGCTACTGTCTGCAGGCCAACAAAAAGCAATCAGAGCCAAAGGAAACTTGTTTCACAACTCTTCCTGGAAAATCAATTCTTCCAGCATTATCTCTGCAAAACACCCATGACATCTAGTGGTACAGAGTTCTACACAGAGGTTGTCTGGCTCCACCAGGATGTTCCAAACAAATATCCTGAGACCTTAAAACAACAAAGCTCTATCTGTTTTTAACCTAATCTATTTATTACTATTTATTTGTTAATTTAATAAGCAAATTAAATATTTCATTTAAATCCTAACAGAAAACTTTTCTCCACTAAATCAGTCATTCTTTCTCCCGAGTACAGAAAGGATTAACAGTTTTTGAGGCTACATTATGAAGTTTTGCTATATTTTCAATTGATTTTTTTCATTCAGGAGGACTGGTCTGGTCACTTCATTAATAATGTTACATTATTCATTGGGAATTAGTAAAGAACATTAACTCTGTATGGAATGACAAAACTGAGTCAGAAAACTTTTATATAGAAGCTGTCATATTGGTTTTCTGAAATGCTGCTCTTCTTGCACGTACTTAATCTGCAGTTCTAGAGTTTTACCAACTACATGAAGAGGAGGACAAACAAGGCAACAAATTCCCTAAGACAAGAGCTCCCAGATCCACATCCTCCTCCCGGCTGGGCATGCAGCTCCACCCCAGCAGCTGCTGCTGGGCTGAAAGGTTTGTGACCCTCCAAAGAATCCCTCCCCTCTCACTCAAGCACTCTGCACCTCCTCACAGCTGCTAGCAGCAGGGTGCACACTTACTCAGCATTTTCCCCTTAGATGGGTTACACTAGAAAAGCATAACCAGCAGTGGAGGATCAGGGCAGGAGTAACTGTTCTTGGACACTGATGACCCCAGAGGGCTCTTCTCAGCTGCCAGGGCTCAGGATGCTCAGGTTACTCACAGGAAGTTCACAACATTCTATTAGGAAGGATGGATTTTGCAACTCGATTTCCTCCCTAACGGCTACACCAGCTCTGAAAACTTCAGTAATGCAAAGTGATGCTGTCCTGCTTCATACAATGTGGAGCTCCAACAAACACCATCGGGGCAGGGCAGTACTGGGCACGGCAAGTTGGAGGCTTGATTGAGTATGGCACAGCTGCACAGTGCTGTGCATGTATCAGTTTCAAAGTCAGCAGAGCAGGAAAACCAGCCCTTGTGTTAATAGCACAACTGTTCTGAAGCTTAATTTGCTCTTGTCCTGAAGCAAGAACAGAGCCAAAGAGAATAAAAATAGCTAAATACGTTATTAGCGCAATGACAATGATGACTCAGCTCATACCAGTTATCTCCACTCTCTCCCCACACCCATCTCTATCCGGTCCTGAGCTCCTGATGGTAAAGGAGAAGGTATGCAAAGACCTGAGACCACTGGCCACGTCAGACACCACCACCTTCATCTTGTGAGCGTTACCATTTTTAAAAGTACTTAGAACTGTTAACTGCAGCATTTGCAAGGCCACAAATAACAGTATTCTTCTAGATAAAGTGTACTTCTTTCATGCTGTTCCTGAGAGAAACAAGTTATTTATTGTCACTGAGGAAGCTGATTAATATGCTATGCAAACACCACATCACTCATGGATCACCCGTAACAGACGAAACACAATTGTTAAAACTTTATTTCCTCAAGGCAGTGTAAAGGAAGTTACATATCTCTTTTGAATGAGTCATTATATAGAGCTGAGACTTAAGAAATAGAACAACAAATAAAACATCCACAAACAGCCAACTCTGGCAAGTCTTTAGATCAGAGGTATTCATGTAAAATGTGAATGTGATTTTATTTCCACTCAAAGACAAAGGGTGCAAAGTAAGAGAGTTGGGATCAGAGTCAAGAACAACTCCGTATGTTCTGCCTTTAGCTTCAGTGAAGCATGAAAATGGTCTCCTGTGCAAACTAAGATAAACTGTGAATGAATCAGTGATAGTTGCTCTGGTTGCTTGTGAACAGATGCAGAACAGAATTTGGTCCCTACACAACTATTAGAGCTGGTAAGAAAGACTCCAGGCCAGTAACTTCTGACAGATGGCTATTCTGTGTTCTGTTTGGTGCTAGTTTAGAGAAAAATATAAAATGTTTATATCAGCTTTTTTGTTACCCTTACCCAAACCCATGGTTCATCTTGACGTAAACAGAGCTACTAATTGCACCTCGTGAAACTTTGACTGCATTGAACTAAAAGCTCTTGAACGAGGTAAGAGCATCCTTGGCGTTACCTGTCGCAGTAACTCCTCCTGGCGCATGCGGATTCGCTCCCTCTCCATCTGGATTCTCTGGAGCCTCAGCTTCTGCTGCTGCTGCTGCTGCGAGGTGAGCGCGCTGGGCATGAGCAGCGCGGGCGCTGGGGGCTGCGGGGGGCGG